ACCGATAGATGGCGGTGCCCATATAACAACGTTGTCTGATAGCGGAAAAAGCGAATGCGCGCAACCAAAAAACGAATGGCAATAAAGAATACAAATTACAACATTTCAAAAAATAATTGTATTACTATTATTTTTAAAAAGATGTCCTAGGGTAATGGGATGGGTGCAGCCACTGTTATAAGTAATTGAATGTATACCTGTAAGCAACGAAAACCATTGTTAACGAAAAAACAATTCTGAGCGAAGTTTAGTTGATAGTGATGCCTTGTCAATAAAATATATGTCATATTATAGTAAAATAATTAAATAGGCTTTATATATTTTTTTTTAAATATTTGTTTAATGTTGTACCGATTTTTCAGTTTTTCCCAGTTTTTCATATTTGCTGAGAAACTCTTGGGAAAATCGAAACACGACCTTTTTAAAGTACCTCCCCAATCAGATTCACTATTAGAAAACGTGCTATCATTATAAAGCGGAGCAAAATTGCTGGTAGAAAAGTTGTTTACAGGAAAAAAGAAGGCCGTAATATTTTTTTAACTAATATCTTCATTTCAAATTTAAACTAATGAGGTTTTAACTAAAGTTCAGACACTAGAAATAAATTGTAAAGTTCTAACAACATCAATAACTTCTGGAAAATACAAAAAAATAAAAAAAATCTTAAATTTGAATACGTGTTATCAATTAATATATTGAGAATATTAATTTGTTTATATGGTTAATGCGATTTCCATTGTTGTCATATTCAGCAATACCGGATGTTTCATTTTGCAAATTTTGTGTAGCGTTTTCAAAATCTCAAGGTGGATTTGACACACAAGTGTTAGGTAGTCTTGTTTTAAAACAATTTGTTAAGCGGATATACGCTATTGAAATATTTACCAATTACTCATCTTTAAAATATCGTTATCGCATGATCATCGTATAGGTATCTCTATAGAACCTCTTCTAGGAAAATATTTCATCTCCGTGTTTTTTACTTTCCCGTTTACGTTAACGTGAAAGGAGGAAACCAGCAAATGCAGATTATTGAGTGGGTGATTTGTGATTTGAATTGTGTCCGATCGGGTCCATCGAATAATTTTTCCAGGCCGATCGTCATCATCGATTCCTCGGTCACGGTGCCCGTCATTTGGCGGATGGTGGTTTCGATTCTCTCCCCTCGATTCGCCTTCGTGGGTCGCACGTGCGACGAGATCACATCGCGAAACGATATTAAATTACACGACCAGACGATTAGGATTCGGCCCAGTGATCGGCACAGTGGATACATCCGTTTCGAGTAGACGCACCTACGTATTTTGAAAATTGTATCGAGTAAAATAAAATTAAAAAAAAAATAACAGTACCATCAAGCTTCATGGTAACGAGGTTGGGTCTTCGGGAATGCCGTGTAATATTTTATAGGGTACTTACTATAGCATGATAAACCCGGGAATGTTGTAGGCGTTTTACCCATCCTGTTCGAAGTGTTTTCGTCGGAAACCAATCAAATAATCCGTCAAAATGTACGAGTACGCATAAAGCGAATGTTTTTATTTATGATATTTAATTTTTATTATCCGTAAATATAATTCCCTTTTTGCTTAACACATTTGATCCCTTCCCTCATTCTTCGTCTATCATTATATATCCCCTCCCTCTTATTCGTCGTTTGTCTTTGAAATCTTGTTTACAGTCTAGACCGGTAAAAAAACCAACGTCATTTGTGACAAAAAAGTCGTAGCCGAAACAAATTTCAAGGGGATCCACCGGTTTTATTCTATCGTTATACCAACGTTTACGTGATTTAAAAAATTAAAAAAAAACAAATATTGTAGGAGAGGATCCATAGAACGTCTCCCCAAGATTCGACTTTGATTATCATAACCATCGGTGTTTAATTCTATAATTTAGATTTTGAAATTACAAAGAAAAAAAAAATTCCTTTTAAACATAATAAGTAGGTATATGGTTTTGCTGCGAAAAGACCAAATTGTTTGCCTAACCAATTTTTTTGGAATTTTCCATGGGCGATTTTTCCGTTACAGCGCCACCCGATCACCATTATTTCTCTGTCAAAGACCCTAACCATCCTCATCGGCACTTAATTATGAGATCGGTTATTTCAAACGTAGAATTATAACTAACAAGTTGTTATTAAAAACTAACGGTAGGTACCTTTTAATTCTTGTTTAATCAACCTCCGCCCATCACGAAATGTTTCCATTGTATCCGCCTTTATCATGTATACTTTTTTCAGTATGTTTTGAACGATTGTGATTGTTTTTTTTTTTTAAAACGGTTCACGTTTTATTTTACAATGAAACAATTAAAATCGAAATAAAAGAATTATTAGTATTATTTTTATTACAAGAATGTTATAGTGTATAATTATAACTGTTTTTCGCGTTTGAAACGGACATTTTTCAGTATTTTTTTGCTTTTTTTTTTTTTTTATAGATTTTCACGCATCATTTCTCCGTACGTAGGCACATCGTGTTACTATTATTAGTATAGTGTACACACGCGAGTTGTACGTAACGAGTGGTGTTTATTGTCGTTAAAAAACAACGGTTTTTTTTCTCTAATAAACGACAGCGGCGGCGACGGTGGCGAGAGGAGGTGAAAAATGGTAGGTAAACGAAATAAAAAAATAACATAATAGTTAAACTCGTATAATACGTTGTTTGTATTTTTTTTTTTCAATCGACCATCGGCCGTTCGTGTACAGTAGGTATACACTGTATGCCTGTATGATACCCACTGTCGTATGCGATAAATTGCGAGAGGATGTCGTGCGTGCGGCAGATGAAAAAAAAAAATACTATCGTTAAATGCGAAACTATTAAATATATATAATGTATTAAAGTTATTGTTTCAACGGTAATGAATTTGTTTTGATAATAAATTGACGTCGGCGATTGCAAACGGCGGCGGCATGCTGCGGCGGCGGCTTTAGTACAAAAGTACGATATTTAATGCACCTGATTTTTATAAGACAAAAATTTCCAACGGGACGATCGAAATGTTTGTTTTAGACCGCGAGTCGACAAAAGATACCTACTTAATAATATCTGCCGTAATTGATAAAGTAAATTATTGTCTACGTACAGACGATTGTCCGTACACAATCGACGAAACAATTTTTAGATATTATTAGTTTTACTATGTGTGCAATTTGCGTGTGTATGTGTGTGTGTGTGTGTGTGTGCGTGTGTGTGTCTACGAACAACCATTTTTCTACTAGAAATCTTGTTCCGCCTCAATTAACGACAAATGAGATTTTTTTTGTTGCATTTCGGATATTGTTGGTGCACTGGGGAAGTCGTTTTTTGGGGTTCCTTGTAATTTCCATTATATTTGGAGGAAAATTGAAAAATAAAAACTTATAGGAACACATTTACGTGGATAAAGTTTCATTATTATCGATTTTTCATGTTACACCGTTTCTGAAATAAAATTTTGTAATAGTCTAAGAAAGCCGTTTTTCAATAGTCGTTTTCGTTTCTTAAATAATTGACAAAAAACGTACGGAAGACGGGAAAGTTTACGAAATTATCATTTTAATTATTTTCGATTTTTTTATTGTTATTATTAGGTTAAAAATAATCGTAGAGATTTGATTTTTACAAAGGGTGTCAAATATCTATAAATAGTTCAGAAATAGCCGGTGTTTTGAACTTTTTTACCTCGTTATACAAAGGTTCGTATAAATATTTTGTGAAAATTTTTACGATAATTTTTAACCGAATTAAAAAAAAAACACAAACCCGAAAATAATGAAACAGTTAGTGCTGTAAACATTTTCGTTTATCATCTGTTTTCTCTAATTATTCAAGATTTATTTGAGACTTTCCTATATACCTACCAATTAAACAACATTTTTTGAAGATTATTTAGTTTGAAAATACAATTGAAGATATTGAAAATTGTGTTGTCATGAATTTTGTCCGTTTTTTCTACACGGTCATTTTTCGGTTCTCTCCAATTATTTTGAAAACTACTCGGAACTCTTATTGCACTAACTAGATCCAAAGTGCTACATAAAAACTCTTTTGTTGTTTTTTTTTTTTTTTTTTTTTTGTTAAAGCATTATGTCTGATAAAAAGGTTGTACGAGGACAAAAAAAAAAGAAAACATCATAGTAAAACCAATAATATTGTACATTCTTCGTTACGCTCCGAATTTTTTTTTTTTTTTTAAAAAAAAGCCGTTTTTATATTAATCTACGGTCTCGACTACGCATACTATTATATTGACGGGGGCATATATTATTATGGTAATTTGTTTAATTAATACGTTTGTTACAAAACTCGTTTGTTGATTTTTTTCATGTTCACGTGCCGTATCGGTAAACAAAACTTTTCCAAAACGAACGGCCAACACGCCCATTTTAAATGATTATAATAATAATATATTACATATTTCTAAAAGTTGTTATTCGTACGTCATCGTTTATTCGGTGTATGTATCTGATTTCGAGAGTGTACATCATATCCATTTACAAAACGAATATTAATGTTTTTTTAAATACACGAATTGGCGTTAAACATTTTATTAATAGCATAGGTTCTGTGCGACAACTGCAAGAGGCAGCGTGACATTGTGCGAAATTCGTGTTATGATGATTTCTGATGTACAATAAAGAACATAATATTATTCTGTACTCGTACGTGTCTGCGCAACGATGACAACAGGAAACGAATCAGTCGAGTGATTCGATTTAATTCTGGAAATTCGCTGTTAAACAATATTAAAATTCCGTCTTCGAACGATTATTTAGTTATAACGGAATCATGGGCTAAAAATTGACCGATTGATAAATTTTAGAAAAATTATAATTCACGTAATCTTGAAGGAATAGTCAAATTGAAATTGTACCAGACATCAGTGTTTCGATACAATATTATACGATTTAGTGTTGATTCTGTAAATTAATTTCGAAATCGATAGTTTTGAATTCTGATTGGAGCGAGGAATGTATTGATTTTACAATGATGTTTTTTGGTTGTGATTCAGTTAAAAATATTCATAGAGACTTGAAATTTGGACAGGGGCATAATTATCGGTGGCATATCGTTTACGAGGTCGGCCAACAATACGTCGACGACGGTACGCATATTTTCGTCTCCGCTGAAGAACGCCGCGCGGTTCAGTGAAATATTTAAGTGGTCACCTAATCACGTCAAGATTAAAAATGGCGTTAATAGTCGTTCAATGTCCTGTAATATTTTAGAAAACGCATAACACTTATTATCTTTCGGGACCGGCGGCGTATAATTATTTTCCGGTCCGTTTTATTATCATCCGGTAGTCCGACACTGCCACGCGTAACATTGTAAAACGTATTTTAACTTACATAAGATTCTTCGGGATAATTTTTATTAGTCATCTTCGAATGTGTTTCCAACGTGTCGAAGTGTATTAATTCTGCGGTATTCAAATTGTCGTCCGACGGTTCGTAAGAACGTTCCTTATTGACAAGTATCAATATTAATGATTTAATAAACGACGCAATTACTTCGTATACAGCTTCTGCTAGGACCGAGATTGAGGAAACTATAGAGGGAATAGAACAATTTAGTTTTGCGGTAATAGTTTTCAACAATGGCTATTAAATCCGTTTATACAAGAATATAAAAATAGTTAAAAATTCAAATCGAAGTTACCAATTTTTATTCAAAAGTAAAAAAAAAAAAAAAATAAATAAATTATAATATCGTATAGAGTTGAAAATGTTTGTTTTAAAGCTACATCTTGTACAGGTCGATACAGCTAAAAACAAAAGTTTCTCTAGCTTTGAATTTCATTTGAACCGTAAAACGAATTTGACATTCGTATTTCCATATATATATATATTATCTGCGATAGATTCGTGAGAGAATTTTCACCAGTTCATTATTAATCATACTTTCACGAATCCGGTCGGTCCAGTGTGTTTGTCCGGTTTGGTCAATATGTCCTTCATTTTCCACGACATCTCACTCGCCATAGTGTGAGTCTGTGGGTCATTGATTACAATACGCATTATCACCGTGCGCGCAATTTATAATGTTATTTATTTATTATTTTTTTTTTTTTCTTATATAAATGCGTATTTTATCCCGGACGATTTCGGCGCGACTAACGTCAAGAGTGCGCGCGAGCATCGGACTTTGTGCATCACAATTATTGTGTCCTTTCAACGAATAGTTACCGAACGACTTACACGACGACTGCGGGATGGACCCCGAATCCGATGTGTTTGCCGATGCGTCTATAAAACGACAAAACACGTAAATAATAACGCGTACAACGTCAAACGTTCGCGGTATACAAAATTATATCTCTTGATATTGACGGCGTACACGCGTAATTTGTTTGGCGATCCAAACGCGTCGGACCGCTCGTATCGCGTTGCCCGAAACATAATTATTGCGTGTTTGTAGTATGTCATTATGCGGGAATCGGAATTTTGTGTGTCGGAGCCGTCGCAGTCTCGCGAGACTCTTGCAACTTGTCGCGGCATTATGGCGACAAACCCGTTTGAAACGGCCGGTCCGGAACCGCGACGCGCCCCGTCCAATCGGCGCGCAAATTATACCGGCGCACGGTTCCGCACGTGGTTCGACGCGTGTCGGACACGCCAAAGCCCAAACGGGATGTAATACGCGCGACGGGGTAAATCACGCTAAAAAACATCCGTACTCGATTTTTTTTTTTTTTATCGTGGTTAATCGTTCTTAGTCGGGCGCTGTCGTTCAGGTGACTCTCGTTGGTCACCGGCAGTGCAATCGCTTTCCGGGAAGTCGTTGTGGTCATCCGGGTTCGGGTTGCCGAATCGATCGAGCCGATTGTATTCGCGAATACCTGCGTTAACAATAAAATCCGATGGTTAAAATGTATAAATGTGAAAATCAGTATACTGCGTTGTTTAGTCCGAGTCGGTACTCACCACCGGATGAGCCATGACTAGATGGTGCGTAAGCGAATTTGATATTGAACAGCGAGCAAAAAAATAATCTGAATCTTATATGAAGATTATTGAACACGCGAAGAATTCGCGATTAAGAAGAAAAAAAAAACCCACAATTAACAGGAATAGTGAGAGACGAGCGCTTTTATAGGGCCGGTCAGCAGTGTTGAATAAAGATACATTTTTAAATATCCGGATAAAGATAAGAGATAGTTAGCAGAAAAGTTATCTTTAGAAATATAAAATTATAGAGTTTTGTTATATAGATAAAAAAAAAAAATAAAGTGGTTTAATAGGTTAGGTTTCGATCACAAATCTAAGTGCTTAACGTTTACCAGATATGTAACACATCTAAATTTCATCGTATTTTTTATATTACTCAATAAGCCAAACAGTATGTTATTCACATAACAAAGCAATTTTATAAAAAAATATTTAATGTTTTTTTAACTTAAGTAAGCGCAATGCAATTTTTATGTTAAAATGTTAAATATGGTGTCAAAAATCATAAGAAAAAAAATTAATTAGAGTCATAAAATTATCTTTATGTCTATGTTATTATTTTCCTTCGATATACTGATGCGGGCAAAGCAATACGGGAATAAAGGTAAAAAGTATAAAAGAATTGGCACGGAGAACGCCGGGCATAGAACTGCTGCTAGTAGTTTATAATAAAAATAATGGTTCGTGTGCAAGACTATAAATGGCCAGGAATTATATTACACAAAAACGGAAAAACCTAGACACAAAAAAGCCTACATCGTCGGGGGGAGGGGGGAGGGGATTATAAATAGACATACGTGTTTAGTCACTTACTGGTAAATACGAGTATATTGTATATTTTTACATACATGTGATAATACTTAATGCAATAATTCCTTTATATTTTATAATAGATACATTTTTTTTTCATAAAGCGTATTGAATTTCTTTACTTGGTTATTTGGAATACAACTTGTACAAGTTGTAGCATTTAATATCACACGATAATCATGAGCCGTAAATATAAATATAATTCAGACGAATATGGAAGATATTTTTAGGACGGAAACCCATGAGCCGTCGCGCCGCGACCGGCGGTTGACGGTCGTCGTCGCACGGCCGGTCACAATAATAAAATTGTTATCAGCGATTTATTCACTTATAAATAAAAGACGAAGATTGAATTNATTTATTTATTATTTTTTTTTTTTTCTTATATAAATGCGTATTTTATCCCGGACGATTTCGGCGCGACTAACGTCAAGAGTGCGCGCGAGCATCGGACTTTGTGCATCACAATTATTGTGTCCTTTCAACGAATCATTAACGAACGACTTACACGACGACTGCGGGATGGACCCCGAGTCCGAAGTGTTGAGTGGCGGTTGACGGTCGTCGTCGCTCGGCCGGTCACAATAATAAAATTGTTATCAGCGATTTATTCACTTATAAATAAAAGACGAAGATTGAATTTGTGACCGAATAATAATAGAATAATATATAACGTAGGATAACACAAACCATTGCGATTTAATTGTACACCAAACTTAGATAAAACATTTCGATACGATTAAGGAGATGGGGGGGGGGTGGCCGTGCCTGGTTTTCGGCGGAATAATAATAATAACGTGTAAATAAAAATTTAATATTTTTCTAAGTTAAGTACTGAAAGTAAAAATACTTATTTAGTTAACATATTTTGTAATATAAATATTAAAATATTAAATTTTATCTAGATGATTTATTTATTTATCTCAAATAACATAATTTCCATTTATCTGGATAAAAAAGGAAAAACATACCTATCTAATAAAACACAACACTGTCGGTCAGTAAACACGAAAGCGATTACCATCATGATTTACAATAATTTTCTGAAACGTCGTCGAGTGGCAAGTTTGAAAAAATAATAGGTGTATTCAATTTAATACTAATACAGTTGTTCGATTTCGGGAGACGATAATAGTGATAAGAATTGAAGACCTCGACGATAAGATGATAACATATTTTTGAAAACGCGCTCTTTGACGTTGCAATTTAAATAAAAAGAGCTGATAATGTTGGTGGATGTCTCACTGCTGTGGGCGGAATACCGGGAAGGTAGAACATACAATAAAGCGTGAATGAAAAATCATGGTTGACGAATATCGAGTCTGAGAAAAGGCCGGTTAAATAACATATTATTTTTAAAATGTCACGATTATTACGATTTTCGTAATTTTACTGTAACATGCCGAAATCCGTGTAGAAATGAAAGAACGAATTTCCAGGGAACACATTTGTTATGACAAACTTTGTGTAATACGAAATTGATTTAAATTAATGTACAAAAAGGAAAAACAAATTCACTTATTTTGTCCCTTTGAGAACATTTATTTATTTATTTAAAGCATCACGGGTAAAACCCAATGTAAAACGACGTCTTTGAGGTAGGTGCTATATTATATTAGGTACGCTAACAGAAAAGGCGATTCGACAGTGCCCATATTTAGAATCCATGTCATAATGTCGCGGTAATTATGTAGCTGTAAAAATGTCGTGGTAAAAATGTTGTGGACACATTAAATATCACGATGTCAAAAATATGAAAAATACAATATTAATATATTTTAATATACCTTTAGTATAATTTTGTTTTATTAATTTGAAATTTTATCAATGTACACAGTCACAATTAATAAATAAACATAAAGTGGGAAATGAAAAATAATAATAATTACAAATATTATAATAAACAACACCTGACCTAATACCTAACCTAACCTAACCTAACTGAACGGTTCCACAAATATAAACGTAAATTAATAACTTAATATTAAATCAATGCAAAATCTATACTTAAAAGACATTTAACACATCTATGTGATCTATATTAAACACACGAATATGTCTACTATTTTTACTGGAGCGTTCAAACATAACTCGTTACCCAATACAAATAATTCAACTGTCAACCTACAATATTAATAATTATTGTATGCAATTATCTATTTTTTGTACAAGCCGTATTGTATTATTATTTTATACAAGACGTGTAATACGATTTGTATCATACAGTTTGCATCTTTAGATCTTTAGTCTAATACTGGTAGATAGCAATAAATAATAAGGTATCTTACTCGTGAAATCGTTTAGATGTCCGCGATATACAAAGTGATTTTCACATTTGATAAAAAAACTCCTGGGAAAATCGAACAATGACCCTCAAAAGTACCACCCTGCATCGATTTCTTTTAAGAAAGTGTGCTACACTTAAAAATCGGAGCAAGACTGGTGGAAAAGTTGCGCACAGATAAAAAAAAAAAAAAAATAAATAAATAAATATTTTTGTAAAACCATAAGCTTCTTCGCTCCACTCGATATTCGACTCATTTAAAACGTATTATAATTGCTTAGTTTTTAATCCATAGCTATAAGGGATGATTGTGTGTATTTTTATTTCATTATTGCCTCTTCATTATTTATGAACAATTGTTATTGTAAAACATTACGAAATTGGGTCTGGCCCGTTTTAAACTAAAACTAAATAACTAAACTAATTACAATTACTATTACTGGAAAGCTCATAGATTTTTAGGCTGTATCGTCGTTAACTTCAATAGTGCATATTTCAAAATTTGACAAAAATGAGATTATTATCAATATTAATAAAAAATGATTTTTAGCATTTATTCGTCAGTGAAATTTTCTGTGTGATTACCGGTTACGCTGATATTAACAAAAATGTTAATACTATTTGTATCATTCTTTTGTACCAACATAATATTAAAATGCCTCTCATGAATAACTACAAAAACTGAGATATTATTTACTGTTGCACTTCAGCGACGATATAAATGATAAGCTATAGGATTAAATATTCCTATAGGCTCGGCTACTTGTGAAAGGTCTTTTTCATCTATACGCCTATTTTATAAAAGCTCAAATTGTCTATATTGTACTTTCAACAGGTTATTTTTTGATTTTCAAGGCCGTTTTTTAAATAAAAGTACTTAAGTGGGAAAAAGGTAGGAAAATATAAAATTTCATGATTTCATTACTTTACAAAAAAAAAA